CTGTTGCCACGTGCTCAGGGGGACCTGTGATTTTAGGGTTTCCTCTGCACGATCGCAGGGCCTTTAGCTTCCAGCATCCTCCAGCTGCAGAGGCCACTGTGTTTATTTAGTGCTAAATAAATAATAAATTAAATAGAAAAGTGAGAATTCAAATATCTTTAACAGTTGGCCTTAAAATACCACAAACCAGTCCGACAGTAATCAGCTGGGTTTTTGTTTTGTAATCTAAAGGCATCACCATAATGTTGCTAGCATGAATGTTAACTGAGGTTTCATCCTTGTTAACATCTGGTAATCAACCAGTAATGATCATCAGTCACGAGCTGTAGTTTTTAGGTGCTTTTTATACTTGAAATATTTGGTGGTTTGAAGTAAAGAGCCTCATCTATTGACCAGAAGGCTGTTGGTTTGATCGCTGGCTCCCCTGCTCGTATGTTAGAGGCGTCTTTGGATGAGATACTGTAAGAAGTGCTCAGATTTATGAGAAAAGCATTATTTATCGAGTCATGTTTCCTTCTCACTTGGCACCTTTGTTGATCAGAAATCCACGAGATCCCACATTCTGTGGAGTGAGCTCATTAGCCTCATTGCTTTACATTTTAAAACCAGCAGAAGCACAGAGCTTTGTTGCATCGCTAACATTAGCTAACTTCATTAGCTTTCTAGAGCAATACTGTGACTTCTGCAGGGACAGAGTTTAATGTTGACGTCAGTTTGATTCATAATCAGATGAGGAAAGCGCTCGGGGTGAAACACGTCTTTAAAAACAGTCCTGAGTCCAGACTAGTGTTTTAAAACTTTAATTGATCACAGTAAAAGTAGAAAAGAAATCATTTACAATGACCATAGCAAGTGGTAATGATCACTTACCTAGTACATATTTACAGAGAATAAAACAATGAGCTAATTTTTTCCTGACAACATGAAGTAGCAGAAAACAAAAAAAGGGCAATTTCCCTAAAATCAGTGTTATTGGTGGTGAGACCTCAGAATCGCCTGCGTGTCTCACGTCGACTGCAGCGTCGTCCCTCTTGTCCAGAGTATTAGAATAAAACC